AAAGCCCTGCTCCCATTTTATATGGGTCACCTCTAGGGCAATTTTCCTGCAGGGAGGAAGGCTTCTGTGGGTGATTTGGAACTGGGAATCCCTGCCCTCCCCATGTGGCACAAAAGCCATTTGCAGGGGACAACCGGGAGCACAGGACCTTCATGGATCGCCTGGGCCCCCCCCCCCCCCTTCACCATGCAAGGAACAGGTTGGGGCAACCCCTATCTTTCCTCCTTGGGGAAAGTGCAGAGGGCTTTGGTTTCAAGTGGCCCAGCTGCCTCAGCTTCCATGGGTCCTCTGGGGGAAGACCCCAGGCATCTGAGAGAGAGCCACCCGACCTGTGCAGGGTGTTGTACAGAAGTTAATATCTTCAGTTTATGAGCTCTACCCAAGGAATTAGGTGAGAGTTCTATATATATTTGCTGGATGCAGGTGTACACACACACACACACACACACACACACAGGGATCGCTGTGCAAGCCCTGGAGGAGTAGAGAAGATATCTGCATGTTCTCTGATGCACCACAGAATCGCTGAGGAATTAGGTGGACCTCTGCCTGATGCATCGGACAAGACGTGCCCGGATAAGCGATGCAGGTCCCTTCATTAGAACTGCCCCGATCCAGGATGGGAGCTGAGCTGCCTCCGAAGGAGTCTTCCAACGTTCCCTGTCAGAAACAGTCATACACGGTTCCAGGCCACGTTCCAGGCCAGGGGAGATGAACCCTGACTGGCTTTCAAAAGGGGGCTTCCTCCCCATTCCCCCAGCCCAAATCCAACCCCCCAATGTGGACTGAAAAGGGCAGGTCTGACCCGCAGCCCCCTCCCTCTTGCGCGACCCACAGGCCCGTCCTTGGCATCAGTTTAAAAATAAGAAATGGGAGAGTAACACAGACACACCCCAAAAACGTGATTCCTCTTCCGGATTCCCTTTCTTGCTGTTACGGGAAATATTTTTCCCCTGAGTAGCGGCCGACACTTTACATAAGAGCAGAGAGAGATTCTAAAGTGAATAGGGGGCTTTTAGAAAAAAAAATAAAAAGAGATACTGAATTGAAATTTACACATTTACCGGATAAAATAGAATCAAGCTGGCATCTATTTGATAACAGCCAAGCAGAACAAAGAATGCAACATTCATAGCCAAGGAGAACTTAGAATCAGTTCGGAAGGAAGAACCTGTTAAGATGTGCCCTCACCCCATCCAGCAGACAACCAGGATATGCTCAAAATGGGGTGGACATGATGGTCATCTTGATTATTTTGACACCCCCCATCCCCAAGCATATAGGTTAGGTTAAGAGAAAGTTAGGGGCCCATCTAATCAGTTTCATAGCTACGTAGGGATTTGAACATGAATCTCCTACATTCGGCGTATTGATTGATATGCGCTGCGGTTCTAATGTCAGTTACTCCAATCTACCTTATGCAAAGTGATAACGTGGATCGTTATTGATATAATTATTTCAGATTCCAGACTGTGTGGACCCTGTTCAAATCACCGAGCCAATGGTAGTAAATGTCATTTCATGTCTGCTGAAGAATGTTTGAGCCAGTATAGTGATAAACTTGCAGAAGAATATGGGGTAATTGCATTCAGATTTCTCATCATTATTAATTTTGCTTGTTAATTTGTTTGCGTTCTTATTTATATAGCCACCCATATCACAGCAGTGACTCTGGACTCTATCAGAATAGTGTATGCAATCCACCTTCCTATAAGCCACCCAGAGTCTACTGCAGTGTTCCTCAACCTCAGGAACTTTAAGACCTGTGGACTTCCACTCCCAGAATTCCCCAGCCAGGAATTCTGGGAAAGTTCCTGAGGTTGAGAAACACTGGTCTACTGGAGAGGGTGACCATAACAAATTTAATGAAATAAATGAATAAGTGAGCTCTCTGATCAGAGTGGCATGAATGTTATATTATGCAATGTACCTGGGTACAAAGTTTTTACATGACTTCCACCTCCATGTTGTGTGTGAGAATTTCGCTATTTTCATATAGCATATATCGTTATGTTGACCTCCAGGATTAAAACTAAAAAACCAGCAATATAATATACAAAATAAACTTATTTGTACCATAATGTACTCTTATGGAACAAGTGTTTGTGCCCAACCAGTTGCTACAAAGAAAGAATGATATTGGGGGGGGGGGGGGACTCCAGGGTTTTCCATGCC